AGACCCCTTCCCTATAAAAAATAGAAAAAAGTTAGCCGGGTGTGGTTACCTGTAGTTTCAGCTACTCGGAAGGCTGAGGCAGGAAGATCACTTGAGCCCAGGAGTTGGAGGTTACAGTGAGCTGCGATGATGCCACTACACTCTAGCGGGGTGACAGAGTAAGACCCTGTCTCAAAAAAAAAAAAAAAAAAAAAATCTCAAAGTGGCCAACTTCTTAATATACCAGTCTAAAAGGAAAGAAAAGTTTGAAAACAGACTTTAGTTCCATTAGCAGTCATTTTATTTCAGATACGCTGCTCAAATTGAAAAACAACTCAGTTTAATATGGGAGAAAAGGCTACATAAGTTAACTTTAATTTGTTTAATACTGGAAATTCTTTCTTGTCATCAAAATATTTTCATAACTCAGTACCAAATTGCAGATGACCATTTAGCTAAGCTATTAGGAAGGCTCTGGGTCCTCTAGCCTCCAGGCTGGCACCTATTATCCAAATTACTTCACTTTTCAGGTATGTTTAGCATTTAGTCATCCTATAATACAAGAAACCTTATAAGAAAAAAAACACACCCTTGCTTCAATGCTATTTTTCATCAGAAGACTTTAATTTAATGCTCCTCTCCTTATTCCTCACTACAAGTAGAAGTAGTCCAAGAGTGATGTCATGGAAAACAGCTTCCCTAGCCTTTAGAGATTGGATCCAGTGAGAATTCTAGGAAAAGCCTCTACTGGGGACTAAAACCCCAAATCTTCTAAGTTACATTCTAACATGAAATCACAAATACTGTAATGTTAGCATTTTAGTTCTCTGAAAGAATTACGCAACTAAACTAAATCTTTCGGAAGGTCTTGATGTTATGATACAGATTTCCTGCAAATATTTAAAGTCTATGATGCAGAATCATTAACTAAGTTCAAAGACCTTATCAAAGACAAAGGATAACTTTTCTATCCATTCTTATTTGCTTCAATGATTCAGCCAGATGAGTTTTAAGGATCTTATATTAAAAGCAGAAAATATGAGAACATATTTTGCCTTTCCTAGTTTCTTTATTCCAAAGTTAAAATTTCTAATTTTGAAAATGTCTTCCATTTTTGGACCAGCAATCATACAACATATACCCATGGCAGAGATGAACTATGAGAGCCTTTCCAATGATTCCTAAAATGGCAGTAATAATTATCTCTTATTACTTTCTCCCTTGTTGCTGCTGTTCCTTGAAAACCAGCCACCCTCTCACCTTAAGGCCTCTCTACTTGCTGTTCCCTCTGCCTGGATCATATTATCCCCAGATACGTATGGCTCCCTTCAGGTCTTTAGTGTCATCTTTTAAAATTGCAAAACCCCACCCATCCCATCAATCCCCATCCTCCTTCTCTGCAGTAAGTATATTAAAGGGTGATATAAGCTATCTATTTTACTTATTTAGTTTACTTTATACTTCAAATTTTTGTTTTGCTTCACTGACTGCTGTAGCTCCAGCACCCAGAACAGTGCTTGGCACATAGTAAATGCTTAATAAATATTTGTTGGATGAACAGATAATTTAATCCTCACAACCCTCAATGTTCTGTAACCATCCTGATTTTAAACATGAGAAAAATCAAAGCTCACAGAGATTAGGTATCTTGCCCAAGGCTATGATTGTTAATAAGTTGTAAAGTTGTAAAGTTGGGGTCTACCTAACTTTAGAACCTTCAAGATTAACCCGTATTCTACAATGCCTCACCGATGATTCCGTCTTTTATTTCTCTTCAATTAAAAAAACACCACATGAGCTACAATATTCAAATTTGGAGAAAATATATGCTAATAAATTAATCCACTCCCTCCACCAAGCTAAAGATGCCTTCTCCTCACAGTTAACAGTTATTCACTCTCAAAACATTTGCACCAGGAAAGGCCAAGCTTGACAACAGGCCAGAGCGACATCACTTGCGGGGCCTCTTATTCAAAATCAGGAAAAAAATGTCTTTAAAGGTACTAAAATATAAAGCTTTTCCCTTTTTTCTGTCTCTTTTGACTTGTCTCTGTCTTTTTTTATTTGCTGTTTAATGTCGGTCTAAGTAAAGAAAAATTAAAAATTTAAATTAGCATGAATTTTACCATTCACCTTTATATTGTACAATGCCAGTTTTACATACGGGGTTATTAAACCAACTGTGGGACCCTTCTGAACACCCATAAAGCCAAGATTTTAGCTCCAGATAACCCAAATCAAGGCAGAGAGGAGGTCAAACCTTAAAATTCCCAATAAAGCAGTGATTTGCCAAATTTTATCTTCAAGACAAGCAATAAATCCAATCCATAAAAGCAACCACTTTAAAGGAGGCTTTTCCTTTTGCTGTTTTAATCCTGTTCACCTTATATTATTCTGCCTTTTTACAAAACAAAAAAGCATACTCTGAAAGACAACTGGTATTGGACTAGAGGATTATAAATTTAATAAAACATCTACTCAGAAAACCATTTGTTAGCTAAAAATAATATACAAAAAAATGCTTCTCTTTCACTTTTTGTGGATCATTTAAGCCAAACCATACTACATTTTTGATGTGCCAAGTTAAGAATGATTCCATACTGATCTGTTACACATATAAATTCTGGCAAATAAATTCTATTTTCAAACCACAAATATCTACTATCCTATACTTCTTCCTAAATTAATCAGCAATAAAGAGTGCAAATGAACATCCTTTACCTCTGATAACTGTGACTCTAAGCACCTACTAAGTGCTGTAATGATTAAAAATGAGAACTAAATTACATAAATATTAAAGTGCCAAAAAGTTGAGATTTTCTATACATTTCTAGATCTATTAAGAATTACAGAACCATGAATGTATTTATAAGCTCTTCAAAAACGATTTTCAAATTAGTAGAGGTATTCAGGCATCCTGTTCCTTAGATATGCAGGCATTACATTTAGGGCATATACATCTAAAAAGCATTTTCTAAATTACAACTTAATCAGATTAACAAAGGAAAACAAATTCAGAAAACATAAAGGACAAATGTAAGGTGTTAAATATTCTAAGAAAGAGGGCCTAAGCGGCCTAGAAAGATGAAAAGCAAAGCCCTACAGTAACGTTAAATTTGAATTAAAGAATACCGTTATTTAAATAAGCAGTTAGCATTTCGTAGGAGGAAGGCCAAGCAACGTGATCATTACATATCGATCCACAGCACTGCTTTGCTATTCCGTACTTATTTGCTCACACTTATAATATAGAAATAAAGAGACAGCAACAGTTAGTCACTACAACATTAAGCACTCTGGCAAAGGTTATTTTAAAAATGGCCTTGCATTTTTACAACACCTTATAGCTATAGATTATTTTCACATATATGACCTCATATAGTCCTCGCAACCCTGTGATGTGGGTATTACTGACTAGATTTCATAGATAAGAAGCCGAGGCTCCGTACGCGATTTTCTGAGTCACCCAGTCGAACCCAGACCTTCCGATTCCACGTTTTAACCCCACATTTCGCATAGTTCTATTTCAGGCATAAATAGAATTTTTAAAGGGAAGGAACGGCTTAGGGAAAAAATAATCATGGTACCTGCAGCCGTATGCTGCAAAAAATGGCTGAATTATGCTTCTTCCTTTTTTCTCTCTCTCTCTGAAAAAAAAAAAATTAGATTTCGAACAATTTAAGTAAACTCAAAGACAAATTAGGTCTCGGCGTCTACCAAAGGTTTGACTCGGGTCTATGTAAAGAGGGCCACGAAACCGGTGCCTAGCTCGGGGCCGCGAGCGAAGCCCGGGCTCCGCAGGCCGGCGGCCAGGGGCGGCTACGTACCTCGGGGGTCCTGTCCAGCCTTTAGTGGACGGCAGTCTGCATGAGGAAGAAGCGGGCCGGCGGGCCGATCGGTGGGCGGTCGGGCGCCGGGACGGCACTCGGCAGGCTCCTCGAACGTCTACAAGGGGCCGCTCCCGGACCGGGCCGGGGCGCTCCGGCGGCGGACGAGTCTGCGCGCCTGCGGCCCCCTCGGAACCAGTCCTGGGAAAGAAGACAGCGCTGAGTCGCGAGTCCCAGACGGTCGGGCTCCGCGCGAGGCGGCGCGGCGTCGGCGCCGGGACCGGCCTTGCCAACGCCGGGGGCCTCGCAGCACCCGGCGGGGCTCGGCGGGAGGGCCGACTGGAGCAGCGGGCGGGGAAAAGGGCTGGGGGACGGCGGGCTGAGGTAAAAGCGCCGGCAGTGGCGGCGTCGACGACGGCGTCTCCGGGCTTCTGCCCCGAAGCGCGCCGAGCCTCGGGATCACCCACGCCGGGGGTGGAGGAAGGCGGGAAAGGGGCGGGGCAAGGGGCGGGGCGTGCGGGGCCACGAGCCGGGGGCCGCTCCGGGCTGCGCGCCCCCTGCGGGCCGCGGGAGGCGCCCGGGGCCCGCCCAGGGAGGCGGGGCTGGCCAGCACGGGGCCTCGTGCGCCGGCGTCTCGACGCGGAAGCCCGACACGCTGGGAAAGAGGGCAGGGGGTGGGAAGCCAGGGGATGGAGTGCTGGCCCGGGGAGGGCCCCTCGGCCCCTGCTGGCGCCCCTAGGGGGCCAGCGTGCAGCCTGGCGGGTGTTTACCTTCCCCCTGGTCGAGCGCCAATGCCGCCATCTTTCAGCCCAATGCGCGTCACTTCCGGCGCCACGGGAGCGGGAGCGGGTGTGGGAACCGGGTGGGGGGAGGACTGTCCTGAGCCCACTGCGCCCTGCGTCCTAGCCGCCCACACGCCACCCCAGCTCGGCCCCACCGAGAAAAAGAGGCGGCCCGGAGCTGTGGCCGAGGTCCCGGCCCGACGCTGCTTCCCCCGCAGCGCCGCCGTCGGGGCTGGGAACGCTCGGCTGTTGCTCGTCCCCTCGCAGCGGTCCTTCTCGGGCTGCGCGAGCGGTGGGCCCCGAGCCACTGCGGTGCACCCACCTTGGACAAGTTGAGGGTTAGAAAGCCGGGAAAGTGGGGTTTTTTTGCATCTTGCACACGGTGGGGGTGGGGGAACCGGGACAACGTGGAGGGAGCTTTGCAATAGCTACCTGTTACAAAAGTGACTAGATCTGCGCCAAATGACATCATTTTTGTAAAGCAATTTGCAGCGGTTTATTGCGTCACACTTCTGCTTGGCTTATTGCACAACGACACATTTCAGAAATAAATTTCCCAGAGGTGGGAAAATTCATAAAAAATTGCATGTCTGCACCACACGGAGAAATGCCGGATCTAAAAAAGCTGTTTCTTCTTGCGTCAAAATAAGCAAGAACGAACACTCAGAGGGCAGTGATTCTTGTTCGTTTTTAACAAATCAGCTGTAGAATTCTAGCTAATGCTTTTTAAATATCACCTTTTCTTGATTTAAGAATATAAAAACTACACTATAGGACTGTTTTTGTAGATTTATTATTATACAGGCTCTTTGTGGGAAAGGTGTAGATGACAAAAATACACGGTTGGAAGCCAGTGGTTCTACAACTAACCTTAAATTAGGGCATCCATTGCCCATTTTTGATCCTAAACTGAGGTATTTCTGCTTCCCCAACCCCCACCCCC